TGATGTCTTCCAGGGCTTCCCATACTTCTCTTTGGTGACTGACTTGATCAGCTGAGTCTGTTGTTCTCTATTTAAGGTTGCACCTAGTTTCATAATATTTGGATTAATAGCTGGAATACTTCCGGCTCTTGACCCCAGAAGTTTTTTATAGTACCCTAGTATTTCTGCTTCTATATCATCCTCCATTACTAGTTGAGCTCCCACATCATTTGTTAGACTTTGGATTCCATTCAGGTGATTCCTATTCTTCATTTGTGCAAAGAAGTAGGCTGAGTTAGAATCCCCCAGCTTCAACCATTGGACTCTGGATCTTTGTTTGTATATGCTTTCTTCTATCTTCCCCCATTTTTCTAGCTCACACTTCAATTCTTTCTCCTTCTCAACCAGCTCTATATTCTGTAGTTTAGAGCTCATTTCCTCTTGTATTCCCTGCAATTCCCTCCTAATCTCTTTTATCCTTTCATCAACCCCTTTGTAGTGCTGTGTGTTTATAGTTTTAATTATTTCCTTTACACCTTTAAGATTGTTCCATACTGCCTGCATTATTCCATTTGTGTTCCTATCTTGCTAAACTTCTTCAATGTGCTACATGAATTGGGGATGGTCAGCAATGCAGTTGAAAAACTTGAATGGCCTGTTCTTTCTTCCTTGTGTTACTGATTACTAACTTCAGTGGTGAGTGGTCAGATACCATTGGTTCAAGCACCTGCACTTTCACATTTGGCATTGTCATCATCCAGGTTATATTCACAAGTGCCCTGTCAATCCTGCTATATGTATGGTTGTTGGTCCATGTATAGCTCCTTCCCATATATTGCAATTCATTCATCCCTGTGTCCCCCATATACTCCTTAAAGTCTTTTGTTTCCATCTCTTGTATCTTTGAACCATGTTGTCTATCTTGAGGATGTAGTACAGCATTATAGTCACCCATAGCTAGCCAAGGCCCCTGCTGAATACTGTGTATTTGCCTCAGCTTACACCATAGCTTCAATCTATCTTTAATTGTATGTAACCCATATATTGCTGAAAATCCAAATGTGATTGCTTTTGAAATAACTCTGACTTGGCCATGTATCAGTTGCTCCTATATTTCCACTGGTTCAAATGTATATATCCTGGGGTCCCAAACTATCCAGATTCTGCTTTTATGGTTTACACTAGCATTAGATATCCATTTCCAACCAGGTGCTATCTTCTTTATCACCTCATTTGTTTTGTGCTCTTTTATTCTATGTTCTACTAGTGTTATAATTGCTTTATTATTCCCTTTTATAAACTCCTTTACCTCCTTTTGCTTATATGTTTTATTCAACCCCCTAACATTCCAAGTTACCACACTCATACAGGTATAAAATAGGGGTGATGAAACAACTCCTGCACCTCTGATCTCCTCATCTGCATGTTACTTGTACCTGGTTCATCATGTGTTTGATGCTTTGCCAAGCTTTGGAATCCATTGCTTCCTGGTGGCTCCTGCTCCTCAACTTGTTTAGCCTTAGCTGCCCTAGCTGCTGATTTCCCTAGGACTGTTATCCACCCCTCCTCCTTTTCCTGTGCATCTTTGTTTTTTTATTCTGGTACAGGCTGTTGAGTAGTCTCAGCTGCTTTCTGTTGCTCAATCTCCTTCTTCTCATTACTAGCTTCTCTGTCAGTTCTGAGCCACACTTGCTTGGTTCTGACTTCCTTTCTCTGCTGCACCATCCTTTGTGGTTGTGCTGGTTTAGTCTCAGCACAATCATGTCCTATTTTTAGACATTTTGTGCAGTATTTTGGCTCCCAGTCATAAGTGACTTCCTGTTGAATTATCCTCCCCTTGTGGTCCTGTAGCTTCACATACCTAGGTAGAGGTTTTGTAATATCTATTTCAATCAACATTCGTGCATAAGAGATCCTAACAGAGCCAGTGGTACATTCATCTGCATACACCGAATTTCCCAATATACTGCCTATCTTACTTAGAGATTTCATACCCCAGCAATTGATGGGTAGATTTGGGAATCTCACCCATAAGGGAATAGTTTTCAGGACTTCATCATGAAGATTGAAATCTTCTGACCATGCCTTCATTATTATGGGCTTGTTGTTGATTGTGTGAGGTCCAGAGTATAGCACCTTGTCTCTCTCCTCTAGATTACTAAACCTTATCACAAAATATCCTTCGTTGTGGTAGTATATTTGTGGTTTCACTGAGAATTTGCCCATTGAGCTCACTCCTGTTTGTTTTTAACAAGTGTATTTCTTTTAAACAAGACAATAGTCATTAGAATATTTTTAAGTTCATATTTGATTACGTTAATATGATTTTAACTCATAATTTCTTACGCATAGATATTTTCAAAGTCAAGCTCTTTTGAATTCAATCCCTTTTTTAATCATTTATACACTCTACACTTAGCCTTAATTATCTTAAGTCCGATTGATTAACCATTTTAATATGGATCTTAAAGAGTGCCTTACACCTTCTCTTTAAGATTAATTGAACCCTTGTCTTAGAATCTCTAATGTTTAGTATACCAACAATAGATAATTTAGGTGTCCTAACTCACCTTTTAATATAATTAGGTGGCGACTCTTTAGTTAATAATTAATTAAGGAATCACCAATATGTCATAGCCTAATTTGACCCGTGTTAAAATGGTGTATAACACATTCTCCTAAGGTCTCTCATATGGAGGTTGCTGTACAACCGGTTCGTTATGTTAAGCAGTCACCTGGAGCTGGAATCCTATTGTCATCTGCCCATTCTCCTCTATCACTGCTTATTATGATGCTGATTAGGCTTCGTGCCCAAATACTCGTCGGTCTGTTACAGGATATTTTGTTAAATTTGGCACTTCTCTAGTGTCTTGAAAATCCAAGAAACAGTCAACTATCTATAGAAGTTCTGCGGAGGCAGAATATAGGAGCCTTGCCTCGACAGTTGCTGAGCTTGTCTGGCTTCTTGGATTATTTAAGGAATTGAATGTGAATGTTCAGCTGCCTATCTCTTTATACCATGACAATAAATCAGCCATCCAAATAGCTACTAATTCTGTTTTTCATGAGCGAACCAAACACATCGACATCGATTGTCATTTTATCCGGGAGAAGGTCAAGCAGGGATTGGTAAATCTTCAGTATTTGGCTTCCTCAGAGCAACATGTTGATATTCTCACCAAAGGGCTTACTCAGCTTCAGCATCATTATCTGATGTCCAAGCTAGGTGTCACAATCCGGATTTTCCACCTTCGGGAGTCGTGATGGCGCCTACTCGAAATAGCTAGGCAAGCCACGAAATTAGAAATCATTAACTCTTTTGTTTTAATC